CAGGCACATCCGGCTAATGATTCCAAATAGGACGAGACGTGTTCTTGAACCTACTGCTAGATACCGACATGATTACAAAATTTTGAATAATTTGAATGCTTTCAATATCAATTTTCGGACTCTAACAGACGGCATGAACAGAGATTGCTGACTTGATTTGTAAATGATAGAGTCCCACAGAATCATTTGACGGTCATTTGTGTAACTTGCATGTTCTACATATATACTGAAAAATAAACTGAATTCATCTTCCACAATAGTTTTCTTACACACTCACATCTTCACCCTGACGTCACAGACTCATAACTGACAAAAGTGATACCTGGATTCGAAAACATTGATAAGAGCAGGTAGTAGACAACCATCGTCGTCCATTCGATGAAATGAATATAGACAATAAATTATAACCGAAACGTTATCCAGTAAATAATACTATTTCACTACGGAACATTTACAATAAACTGACTAAATTGGAATTACAGTTGACCACAGTCTTCAAGTTTTACCACCACATTACTAAACATAGGATTCATAAATATCACAGGTCTGATATTAAACAGCCTTTACAATTATGTATAGAAACTGTCAGCAACCTACACTTACGTCTCTTGAAGCCCCAGTCATGCACAAATCTAAACCATCGTTGTGTGTTCAAAAACAGTTTCTCATTCCTTACGCTAAATTCCATCTATCCCCATAATATAATCATGCATAAACAACGTGTTCTTATTTACCACCACTCAGGCGATAACTTGTACAGATTTGATTCCCTGAAACAGCGACTTCGATGAAGTGGCACGGAAAACGTCAAAAAGTTGTTTTCTACCTCACTGCGATTTAAAAAATATATTTCGCTAATGGTCCGCTCACCCATCCGTCAACTTAATCAACTGTGTTAGGTCAATTTTTCATCCCGAAGTCTATAAAATCAACATTTCTAGTTGCAGGTCTCAACCAACTGTGGGATGTGTTAATTGACTGTTGCATAAATATTAAGATATCTGCCACCGACAGGTGCGTGAGTACACTATGTTTCCAAAGCGTTGCGCATTCGTCTCAATCTAACTCTACCTATCGAGATATGGACAGGTTGAGAGTATCATCAGTCCCCCATGCAGCTCACGTGACGCAATATGGTGTACAAAGCTGTAACGAACGGTAACCATCGTCATGTTGCAATCGTCAGCGTTATCTAAAATTCACCTAGTAAATTGTGTGAAACAGGAATCAAATGAATAACTTGAAGATGGTGATTCATCCTACTTAGTGTTACTGAGCTTTGAATAAGCGCTGGGAAATTGTTCAATGTGAATCCCACACTCGTTGACACTCATTAATGCTTATTCGGTTAATTTGATGGTTGACTTACTGTAACTTATCAATAAATCGTCGAATAATGTCTCTCCAGTTGTCTATGTGCCTCATACAATCCCACTTATAGTTAACCATCACATAGATTCCATTTCAGACGATGACATACAGGATTTACGCATAATCCGTTATTACTAAAGTGAAGCTTGTCGCCGCTCGTCACCTTCACTTGACACCAGTGAATTCAATACTCCTCTTTAAACTGAATTCACACTCAGCAAATTTATACCAATGGAGTCGAGATATCTCCAAAATCTTGTGGCAGACTTCATGAACAGAGTACAGCATATGGAAGTTTTATAACGCCATCATCGATAAATGCTTCTGCTGAGTGTAAATGTTTCGATGAAATTACTGTAGACGGTTTGGTAAAATCTCCAAATACTTTTCATTGCATTCTCTGAGACTAGTGTTCCCATGCAAGGAGGCCGTCTGTCATAGAGTTGAGAGCACTCTCAACCAACTTTCTGGTAGATTTTGTTGATAAACTTGAGAAGTATTCTGATAGTTGTGTTCGTCAGAAGCTCATTCACTCATTCATCATTCAAAGCATTCTGTGACGAGGATCGGATCGGATTGGATAATCTTTCGTAGATGATTTCTGAGTAACAAGCGTGTTTGCATCGGTGGTGCAGGAAGAAAAGCACACAATTATGAGAAATCTACAAGTGGAAGATTTATCTAGTTCATAATTCAGAGTATATTCGATGGTGTTTGGAATGGACTTGTTATTCAGAGGGGGAGCCTACACAAGTTACACGGTTATTTCTAGACATCATATAAGAGAAGATTATGTGTGACGACTAGAGAGTTTACACTGTAACATGTCGTAATGTTGAAAACCCACTTTTATGATATATTCTTTTAGTGCCCCACCATGTATATTTGCTTTTAATGAAAGTAGTAGATGTTGCATTCATCTTGATGACCAACAGGAGAATTGAAGACGTGCGTTTTTTTCTGTTTGGTACTGGTGATTTGGATGTGCCTGCATTCTACTGAGTGATGTTGTTCCCACTGAGACTGGAATCCAGTGTCTACTAGTTCGAAAGTCAAAGCGTTTTCGACTGTATCACTTTGGCGCGAGAGCCAGCACTTGTGTATTTGGTTTCATTATTAAAAGATTATACGACTTGAAGGATTTGGCATTTCGGCTTTCGTAGGCATTTTAACAACGATAATAACATTTTCCTTCGCACTGGAACCTGGCAGTTTTGCTATGACTTAATTGAATGATAAGTCAGTGAAACAGCATTTATTCACTGAAACTACCATATAGATACATTGAAATATGCAACTTTCTAATCATAATAACATTTGTTTGGATAAATAAAAGACAGATCGACCCAGTTATGAATCCATTCGAATTTTAGTGTTTACCAGACATTCCGGCATGATGTTGCATACGAACAACTTGGTTTGAAAAATTCATGGAGCTTAGTCTGAATTCTAGAAACTAGATGGGAAGTCTGGAGATCATATATCTAAGCAACCTGAAAGCTGATACGTTCAGTTGAATATTTTGAAAGTTATTGACATTGATCAACAATAGCATTCATTACTCTTGTTATATACTACAATGAGTATGATTGCTACATCCTGAATAATTTCGTTTATAACTCACGTTTATTTCATGTTTGACTTTGGTTAACTTGTCTAATGAATTAGGAGTTCCATCAATTAAAGCGGATAAAAATAGTTGACCAACAAATTCGCTCATCCGCAACTACTCAACAACAGCCCTTAAGATAGGGTAATATTTCCATCTCATGAGTTCTACAACAGGAGTGCATAACGACCGCTAGCTGTCGGACTGCTAACCCTGAAAAACGGGACCCACCGTTGGTAGACGTTGAATACAGTGTGAATGACGAATGAGAATGCTAAACATAATCCTTTAAGTAAAGTCATTTACTTCTACGGTTGAGTTTCAACATAGTACTGGTGGTAGCTGATGGACAGTATTCGTTTACAAAACATGCCTTGTATATGGAGATGGTTTCGAACATGTCAACTTTTCGTCCCTAATCAGAATAGTTGTCAGTGGTTTGTAACGGGATCTGAGCTGTGTTTATCAGTTTGTCAATGTGTTACAGTAATTGTAATGTATCATGACATAACTTTCTGCCGGTACTTCAAAACACAATGAGCACTACATCACTTCTTATTTATTTAAGTTTGAGTTCTTTCTGAAAACATTTCACCACACAGTGCTCCGAATATACAGTCTTTAGTTAGAAAATTAACATCTTGTCAGCGATAAACTGTGAAGAGTGCAGATGTAGAAGTACATACATTTTCAGATGAAAAACATTCCCATGTTTGCCTCTGAAATGAGAAGTGATCACATTCTTAGAATACTTTTTGGTCCTGAATTTTGCCTGACACTGAAGGTGGCTAGCCCTTACTAACTTTGCTGGTCATAACATAAATCCCAGTTTTATGTTGAGTATCCGCTCAAAACTGCATGCTTGTTATTCCCCATTGGGATTTCTGGTTGGTAAGAGCAGCTGAAAGACTTGTCGATAAAATATCTTGACTACTATATGTCCTACACTTAACAGGTTTGGCGGATAAACGGTCCTACTCATTGTTCATTACTGGTTCTCGATAATCAGTCGTAGCGCTAGAAAAATCCTGATAAATACCATTCATCAGAAGTTTTTTTAATTTCCCTAGCAACTATTTGCAGGATTTGACATCCTTCATCCTTTTTAAGTCTTAATGACATTCATCTTCAACTGCTTACTGTTGACGTTTGTCATGTTTTTTCAGGATGACATTTATGCGCTATTGATAGCTATCTGAATTACTATACTATCATGTAGAAGAGTGCAAGTGGTCCTGCAAAAAAAATTAAGCTCATTACTAACAAAGGTAACTTCTTATTCCTTCTGGTTTGCAGTCTTTCTTTAATTTACCACATCTTCTCCTACCTTGACGTCATTGCTGTGTCTTAACAATGCAGATTTCCGAAAACTTGTTGACGAAAATTTTTCAAGTCTTTAAGTATGCCAGACTGATAAAAACGATAAGTTTTCGCATGAAACTTATAACCAGTTCAATGGATTGAAATTCCAATACTAAGATGTCATTATGATGTTGTTCCATTAGGACTGCTTTCCTAGCGACTTAGATTCCTGTGAGTACTTGAGCTCTTACTCCCAGAAGCCATATCTACCTGAGCTCTTACTATGCAGTGGGTTGGCTGTTTACTGTCATAAAACACTATTACCAGTAAAGCAGTCAATTTTATTTAGACTTTTCTGCTCTCTCTTGGTATATTGTTTGGGTAGCGCATGTTCTATTGTCTGACTCCGAATGGAAATGAGAGCGAATTCATCAGGAAATGAAATAGTTATATTTTCACCGACTCATTTTCACAGCTGTACATTAGTAAATCTACATATAAAATGACAGGATATTCAAGACACGTTCTCGGTCAAAGGTCAAACTTAATCAATAGTTGTATGTACAGAATTAGGTGATACTAATTAGCATATGATCTCAATAATTTTTATTAAATGCAGTGAACAGTGAGATTTGGTATGTGATGCAAACAAAGTAGAGCATCGAGCCAGAAACCCGGTGTCGCTGGTTTGAATCCGACCGAGGTCCAAATTTTCATCTCACCTTCAATCATCACCCATTTAAAAAGTAAATAAAAATTTCATAAAGTGTAACCAATAAATGAATAGATAAAATGCGAAATAAAATATAAACAGAGATGCAGAGTACCTGATTAAAGCCACGGTAAAGAGAGTGTTTATACATGTTTCTTTTGAACATACAATTGAGGTTAGAAACTGAACACCTAACAGCTTTCAGCTTGGCTGCAGCATGATTACAGACTCCACTCCAAGGTTGATGACTAAATATATCAAATCCATTTTCATCTATTTACAGACGAGTAACTTTAAAGGTTATACAATCAACTACTGAAATTACTAGTTGCGATCATATCATATTTTGTATGCAGAATAATAATCAACCTTCTGTCGGAATGTTTTATCCTAGATCTATAGCATCCTGATCTCATTGTATTTTGTGTATCTGAACACGAAAATAAATTGCTTTCGTTTTATTAGCTTTGATGATTAGTTTTATTGTGAGTAGAAAGGTATCATTGTATATTGAACGCAGATTGAACATTGAACCCCTTTACATGTTGTTAACCGTTTCGATACATTTCCAATACACCTTGTTTTAACACTGTATGATTAGAATATTAAGTAATTACAGGGCTGAACTAAACAGAATTCAAATTCTAGGTATTTAAAGTCAAAATATCAAGTGTTTTTTTTTTAGAGATGTAGTCATGGTGAATTTTTATAAGTTCAACCTAGTTTCAAAATATGACAGCGAAGTGATGGTATTTTATCCTATTTATGCCTAGTATTATACACTATTTGCAGTGTGTTGATGAAAAAACTTTTTCATTGCTACAATATGCCTCTGTGCTGTCTTATCGCTGCCGGAATAAAACTATGCACACTACATTATGAAGTAGATAAACATGGAGTTGATATGGTCAGTGATCAGTTAGTAAGGCAATTCTACACACAAATCAATATTATCAGGAAATCATACTTTACCCATCAAAGTTATTTGGGAGATGGGGATATACAAGAGATCAGTAAAAATATACTATCCAAACTACTGAGTTTTGACTACTTTAAGAATCGAAACAGTTATTTCAAAATGCATAAAGTTGAATAATTCGTCAAAATCATTTTAAAAACTGAAAGTGTATTAAAGTTCAATAGTGTGTGGAAGATGGATGCTGACAAACATCTTATTAGTGTTTTTTTAGAATTTAAAGAAGTCCTCATTAAAAGTCTTCGCCACTTGAAGAAGCAGTGAAGACTAATTAGTACACCTGCTACCTTATCAGACTGGTTGATATGAAACTGGAATAATCATTTTCCAAATCGTTAAAAGTTGATAGGAGATAGTCATAATTTCTACTGGATGAGCTTACTGAGCATACATCAGATCCTTCTTGAAGTTAGGGACTTTCGACTCCTAGAACTGGCTGAATCAGTAGTGAACAGAGAATAATTATTCAGTTACACTTATAAAAAGTTGGTTAGGGTTAAAAGAATTTTGTCAAATTTCTACTACTCCTAACACAAAAGAGGAAGAAGAACTAGGGCTGTATAAATCATGTCTCACAGTTGTGAAGTTACCTTGATTTGAACACGAAGAATAAATTGTCTCTGAAACATGATCTGCTTCAAGGTATGATACATCTGATAAGCAAACTACGCTGGAGTACACATGAATGTCTACCAATACACCTGTTCCTGAGGAATTGGTCACATAGGCTACACTCAGCGTGTTCCAGCCAGTAGCTTCTTTTAAAACCATCGTACATTGCTGTCTGCAGGACAGTGAGAATTAATCTACAATGAAATTCATCAAGAGATAAGTCTGTACTTAGCATGTTTACAGTTTTAGGTAGCAGGAAGGCATCCTATAAATTTCGACACAGACCGTAGTCAATGTATTGGTTGGTGGTTCCAGGCTCCTCCATTAGATAAAACCTATTTATTGCTGATATAATTAAAAGAAATAGGAGCTGAACACCTCTGTTATTTTAAAAGCTTTTCAGATTTCTAAATTCACTCAGTACAGGTTTCATAGGTTATCTTAGTCAACTCAATTCTTCAGTTATTTCTCAATAAATGATAAACAACTGAAAAATTTCCAGGTTGTATTCTTGAATTAAAAAATATTGGTACACAGTAAAGACTTCATATTGATTGAAGAGTAAAACCTGAACAGCATGGAACTGACCCAGCATCTACCCTGCGAAATTTACTGTCTATACCAATGAAATAACATAAAGTTGCTAGTTGATGATGTAGAGGTTGAATGAAAACAGAATGGGGTTGAAGGTATTTGGGCTGGTATACACATACTTGAAGTCAGATGCACATCTGTAACAAAGTGGTCAACCGTGACTCCACTAACAATTCTGTCAAATGCGTAGCACAAGAATTCGGCTGTAGATTGAAGAGTATATTTCGAATTATGGTGGACATCACTGACAAATGAAGTTATAACAAACCAATATTATAACCTTTGCGCTACAAAAGTTCTTACATTGACTAGTTTTGGGGAGTATATTAGTATTTTGTGACCTTATTTTTTCATTATAATCTTGATCACTATTATCAACTTTATGTTACTGTCTTTTATGTAACAAAATACTAGTTTACTTGTCTTCTCAGTCTTGTCTTCACTCTTTCTGTTCTTGCTTTTAAAGCTGCAAGCCAGTTTCTTCGGTTTGCTGGATTGAAATTTCTTTTCACAGCTAATAAGCTTAAACCGCAAAACGCTAACTTCGGCTATGTCAGTACCTTATTGACAGAAGATGCTGTAGAAATAATGACAGATACCCTCATAAAATCTGACTCCGAAAGACCTAATGATGGATTAAAGCAGGCAGTTTTTAAAGGTACTTCTTTGTCAGATTGACAAACAATGGATCATCTCCTCAGCAACGTTTGTTTGGCCGATAGAACACCATCTCAGTGTAAGTGCTATACAAGTAACATCCTAGGTAACAGAACACTAGAAGGAAGATTCTTCTATCAGTTGTGGCTCGGGCGGTTACTTCAAAACCTACAACAGATACTGGCCTTTTGAAATGATGACACTAACTCAGACAAACTAGAAGCTGTTTCCGATCAGATTTATAAGCAACGAAATTTCTCTGTGTCATAGATTACAGATATTTCACAAACGGAAAAAGTCATAGCGCTGGAGCAGACAGTGAAAATGTCATGTGGATGAGTTATAACCTTGAGTACGAAAGGAAGATCGCGAAGTGTTTCCAGAAATAGATCTCCATGTCAATGTAGACAATCTTCTAGATAACAAGGAAGTTCGAAATCCTGACACCAACGCAAATACAGCACCCAAACTCAACTCTGTGTAATGCCATGTATTCTTACAATGAGACTGAGTTCGAGAGACAAGAAGACCAGGGTCATTAACGACTACCTTCGTCAGCATAGACCAGTCTTGCAGTCACCTTTTTACATTGCAGAAAAACACACTGGCATCCAGTTTCCGGTCGAAACCGGAGAGAAATAAAGTGCAATCCCACCAACCGCCAAAGAGAGCAAAAGATTTAATTCAATAATGACAATGCAAGCTGTCTATAAATCAAATGCAGGCACCTACGGTCAGAGAAAATTATTGCTAGACTTTGGGCTTGGAAAAACATTCACTTGTAAGTTTATCACTGCCTATTATTATTATTATTATTATTATTATTATTATTATTATTATTATTAGTCCCCTGGATTCCCAATGGAACATAGGGGGCTTCAGTAGCACGTCTCCAATGCGCTGTGTTCTCTGAAATCTTTTGAACCTGGCTACACGATAGCCCAGAATCTCTCATTTCCTCCTCGCACGATCTCCATGTCACCCTCACCTCGGACACCCAACCCGTCGCTTTCCATCAGGGTTCTACTCCAGGGACTGGTGTGTGATGTCCCCAGTCGGCCTTCTCAGTTTATGCCCAATACATCTCCACCTCCTCTTGTTTGGTTCGTTGTCACCCAGAGTTCCTTGTTGCTTATTCTTTCTGGCCATCTGAAATTAAGTAACGAGCCAGCGTAGGCAGTTGTTGATGAATGGCTGTAGTTTGTTGGAAATCCCTTTCATAACGCACCAAGTCTCTGAACCATACAAAAGCACTGATTTGACGTTGGTGTTGAAAATCCGCATCTTGTTCTTTGTGCTGAGTGCAGATCTCCACACTAATCACTTCAGATTAATGAAAGCCTGTATTACTTTTTCAATCCTGACTTTGACATCCTCGTCTGTGCCACCTCCGCCTGTAGATGAAACAATGCTACCTGTCGAGGTAGGTGAAAGAGACTACTTCCTTTAAGTTTCTCCCGTTCATGGTGATTGGAGTTTGTTGTTGTTGGTTGGGTATCTTCATCACCTCTGTCTTCTCTATATTCACTTGAAGTCCCATCTTCCTTCGCTGCCTCACCTCTTCTGCCAACTTGTTAGTTTTCTCCTGTAGATCTTCCAGGTTGTGCAACATTAAACACAAGTCATCGGCCAAATCCAAATATTCTAGGTTCTTTTCCGCGGTCCAGTGTATCCCCCTCCTCTCGCTCCTCACAGTTCCTTACATGATCCAGTCCACTACAATCAGGAAGATCATGGGGGAAAGTAGGCAACCTTGTTCACTCCTGTTTCACTTCAAAATCATCACTGAGCTGAGCTTCCCACTGTGAATTACATGGCATGTGGCGTCTTCATGTAGTTGTTGAATGAGATTGATAAAGGTTTGCGGTATTCCGTAGTATTGAAGCAGTTTCAAATTACCTCTCGGTCGACGCTGTCAAAGGCCTTCTCAAAGTCGATGAAGTTGAGGTAGAGTTGAGTTGACTGTCATTTTATACTCTGTTCTATGATGATGCGTAGTGTAGCGTTGCAATTTGGTCTGCACATGATTTGTACTTCCTGAAGCCTACCTGCCTGTTCCGGTCGTAGTTTTGAATCCAGTACATCCTCTAGTCTCTCCAAGATGATGCGGCCTAATATTTTGCTTGCTCTGGGTGGACAGGAGTATAACATGATTAAAAAGACTTCTGTCT